TTTGGGCCTCTTCGTGCCCTCCGGGAAGACCGCCAGGACGCCTTTTGGGCTGTCTTGGAGGCCTCTTTGGGGCCTCTTGGGCTGGCTGTCTTGCGCCGTCCTGACTGAGGCCATTTTATGCTGTCTTGGGTGCATCTTGGGCCGTTTGGGAGGCATCTTTGGGCCATTCTGGCCGTTGTGGAGGCCATTTTGGCCGTCTTGGAGGCCTCTTGGGCCGTCTTGGGGGCCTCTTGGGCCGTCATAGGGGCCATTTTGGGAGCCTCGTGTGCGATCTTGGGGCCTCTTGGGCCGTCTTGAGCAGTCGGAATGCCCAAAAAAAAATAGCCTGGCGAAGGACCCAACCAATTGCAGCTGCGAGTACCGCGCGGATATGAGACGAAGGAGGGGGCACGCAAAGTAGGCCCCTCTTCTCATAGGCACGGCGCCACTGGGGCCTTCGGTGGAGCTCCCTATGGGGCCACGAAGCGTGTGAAGGGTGTGCCGAAATGGGTGGTGGGGAGGCATGCGGACCCTGCCACGGGGGCCTTCGGTGGAGCTCCCTATGGGGCCACGAAACGTGTGAGGGGTGTGCCGAAATGGGTGTAGGGGACGCATGCGGGCGGCAGCCCTGGGGCCTTCGGTGGAGCTCCCTATGGGGCCACGAAACGTGTGAGGGGTGTGCCGAAATGGGTGGTGGGGAGGCATGCGAACGCAGCCACTGGGGCCTTCGGTGGAGCTCCCTATGGGGCCACGAAACGTGTGAGGGGTGTGCCGAACTGGGTGGTGGGGAGGCATGCGAACCCTGCCACTGGGGCCTTCGGTGGAGCTCCCTATGGGGCCACGAAACGTGTGAGGGGTGTGCCGAAATGGGTGGTGGGGAGGCATGCGAACCCTGCCACTGGGGCCTTCGGTGGAGCTCCCTATGGGGCCACGAAACGTGTGAGGGGTGTGCCGAAATGGGTGATGGGGAGGCATGCGGACCCTGCCACTGGGGCCTTCGGTGGAGCTCCCTATGGGGCCACGAAACGTGTGAGGGGTGTGCGGTGAGGGGTTTGCGAAATGGGTGGTGGCAGCCACTGGGCCTTCGGTGGAGTCCCTAGGGGCCACCAAACGTGTGAGGGGTGTGCCGAAATGGGGGTGAGTTGGGGAGAGGCATGCGAACGCAGCCACTGGGGCCTCGGTGGAGCTCCCTATGGGGCCACGAACGTGTGAGGGGGTTGTGCCGAAATTGTTGGTGGGGAGGCATGCGACCGCAGCCACTGGGGCCTTCGGTGGAGCTCCCTATGGGGCCACGAAACGTGTGAGGGGTGTGCCGAAATGGGTGGCGGGGAGGCATGCGACCGCAGCCACTGGGGCCTTCGGTGGAGCTCCCTATGGGGCCACGAAACGTGTGAGGGTGTGCCGAAATGGGTGGGGGGAGGCATGCGCCCCTGCCACTGGGGGCCTTCGGTGGAGCTCCCTATGGGGCCACGAACGTGTGAGGGGTGTGCCGAAATGGGTGGTGGGGAGGCATGCGAACGCAGCCACTGGGGGCCTTCGGTGGAGCTCCCTATGGGGCCACGAAACGTGTGAGGGGTGTGCCGACGTGGGTGGTGGGGAGGCATGCGAACGCAGCCACTGGGGCCTTCGGTGGAGCTCCCTATGGGGCCACGAAACGTGTGAGGGGTGTGCCGAAATGGGTGGTGGGGGGCATGCGAACGCAGCCACTGGGGCCTTCGGTGGAGCTCCCTATGGGGCCACGAAACGTGTGAGGGGTGTGCCGAAATGGGTGGTGGGGAGGCATGCGAACGCAGCCACTGGGGCCTTCGGTGGAGCTCCCTATGGGGCCACGAAACGTGTGAGGGGTGTGCCGAACATGGGTGGTGGGGAGGCATGCGAACCCTGCCACTGGGGCCTTCGGTGGAGCTCCCTATGGGGCCACGAAACGTGTGAGGGGTGTGCCGAAATGGGTGGTGGGGAGGCATGCGAACGCAGCCACTGGGGCCTTCGGTGGAGCTCCCTATGGGGCCACGAAACGTGTGAGGGGTGTGCCGAAATGGGTGGTGGGGAGGCATGCGAACGCAGCCACTGGGGCCTTCGGTGGAGCTCCCTATGGGGCCACGAAACGTGTGAGGGGTGTGCCGAAATGGGTGGTGGGGAGGCATGCGAACGCAGCCACTGGGGCCTTCGGTGGAGCTGCCTATGGGGCCACGAAACGTGTGAGGGGTGTGCCGAAATGGGTGGTGGGGAGGCATGCAAACCCTGGAGGGAGGAGGGCGAGGAGAAGGAGGAGGAGAAGGAGGAGAAGGAACGCGGGGACCGTTTCTTCAAAACGAGGACCCAACACCACAGGATGGTTGGGAACAAGTGCCAACATCTGCCAAAACAACTTAAGGAACATCAGTGTTTTTGGCCTATCCGGGCCCTCCCGGAGGACCTCTTGGATGCCTCTGGGCCGTCTTGGAGGCCTCTTGGGGGCCTCTTGGGCCGTCTTAGGCCATCTGGAGGCCACCTCAGGCCGTCTTGAGTGCATCTTGGGCCGTCTTGGAGGCATCCTGGGGCCATCTTAGCCGTCTTGGAGGCCATCTTGGGCGTCTTGGAGGCCTCTGGGGCCGCCTTAGGGCCCTCTTGGGGCTCTCTTGGGGCCCTCTTGGGAACCCTGGACGGCCTCTTGGGGCCATCTTGAAGGCCATCGATCAAAGGAGGAGCGGTGATAACGTTCAGCCCCCCCCCCGAAAAGATGCCAACATGGGGCCAATTTCTTAGCAAAACCAATGATTTGGGCGCCCATAGGGCTGGTGGGATAACGTTCAGCCCCCCCTCTGCCCCCCCCCCCCCCTCAAGAGACCAAACTGGTGCCCAAATCTTGGTAAAATCAAAGATTTGGGCGCCCAGAGGGCTGGTGGGCATTTTTCGGTCCCCACCCCAAAAAGGCCAAAATGGGGCCATAACCTTAGTAAAATCAGTGAATTTGGCTTCCTCGACGAGGCCGTTTTGGACGCCCTGACACCTCGCGGGCCCCCCCTAAAAAGTCCAGGAGAAGGGTAAGGGGAGGGGTCAACCCCTCCCCGTAATTGAAGAGGGTCTTTTCTGGGAGAGGGAAGAGGGATCTCGTTGGACCACCTGTCGCCCAGAGGGCCGGTGGGATTTCCGGTACGCTGATGGTGGGAATCCGTGAAACTGTTTGCAAATGTTCCAAACGAATGTGCGCGACGCTGAGGCGAGAGCTGCATTTTGAAAAGGAGCCGCCCTCAATCCGTGAAGCGCTTGCAAATACATTGCGAGCGAGCGTGCGCCGTGCGGAGGCGAGAGCCACGTTCGGAAGACCACCCGCCCTCAGTTCGCGAAGCCCTTGCACGTCTGACAACTCCTGGTCTGGGAGGGCGGGGGATGAGGGGGAAGGGGGGGGGGAGGAGGGAGGAGGAGGAGGAGGAGGAGGAGGAGGAGTAGGAGTAGGAGTAGGAGGAGGAGGAGGAGGAGGAGGAGGAGGAGGAGGAGGAGGAGGAGGAGGAGGAGGAGGAGGAGGAGGAGGAGGAGTAGGAGTAGGAGTAGGAGGAGGAGGAGGAGGAGGAGGGAGGAGGAGCGAGCGTGCGCCGCGCGGAGGCGAGAGCCACACCTCTGACCACGACCCGCCCCCCCTCCGTGCAGGCTCCTGCAGCTCCTGCAGCCGCTCTGGCCCCAGCCGCTCGGCGTCGGGGGCGCCTGGGGCTATCGATCCCCACGCCCGGCGCGCGTGGCCCGCGGCTCCGCCCAACGACATCAGACCTCCTCGAGTCATGAAAAAATCACGACGGGAGGTTTTTCGCTATTTTCGGCCTCTGAGGGCCCTTACCGGGCCTCGGGACCGTCAAAAAACGACTCGGGATGAAAAACCGGTCCCGGGGAATGGGTCTGGACCTCTGGGGGTCGCGTCATGAAAAAATCATGACGTCGGGGGTCTGGGACATCAGGCAGTGCCACGGGGGGTCACCACTGGGGGGGTCGCCAGCTTCTCCTGGAAGTCGAGGTTCCAGGATGGAGAGTCGAGGGGTCGAGGCTGCTCTTGGACGCTTCTTCGCGTTCTCGGGGCTCTGGGGGGCCCAGTTCCTCGAGGGAGTTTCGAGGAAGTGGCGTTTCCTCGAGGAAGTGGCGACCCCCCTAGTGGTGACCCCCCTTTGCACTGCCCCACAACCCCCGACCCCCGACGTCGTGATTTTTTCACAACGTCGACCCCCAGAGGTCTGGACTCCTTCCCCGGGACCGGTTCTTCGTCCTGAGTCGTTTTTTGACGCTCCCGAGGCCCGGTGAGGGCCCCCAGAGGCCGAACATAGCGAAAAACCTCCCGTCGTGATTTTTTCACGACGCTTTGACCCCCCTTTGCACTGCCCCACAACAGTTTCTGCCCGCGGCGAGATGCGCGCCGCGGCCCTGGCGCTCCTCGCGGCGCTCCCGGCGCTCGCGGGCGGCGAGGCGCGGCCGTGCCGCGGCGAGCTGCTGCGAGCCCGGCGTGCCCTGAGGGACGCGCTGGGCGCGGAGGGCCTCGCCCTGCAGGAGTCGCCTGCACGCAAGAGGGACCCTTCGCCGGAGGGACCCCAGACCTCCTCGCGTCGTGAAGAAATCACGACGGGAGGTTTTTCGCCATTTTCGGCCTCCGTGGGCCCTCGCCGGGCCTCGGGACCGTCAAAAGACGAGTCAGGACGAAAAACCGGTCCCGGGGAATGGGTCGGGACCTCTGGGGGTCGCGTCATGAAAAAATCATGACGTCAGGGGTCTGGGACCTTTGGTGCGCGCGCATGGGGGTCCCCCGATCGCCGCGCTCGTTGCGATAGTAGCGCCTTGCGCGCCTGTGCTTGGCCTCCTCGCGCCCCCCAAAAAGCCACGCACCAAAGGTCACTCTTGCCCAGGGTCACTCTTACGCGCAGCCGCAGGAGGCCGCCGTGCGCGGGCGGGCGGGGGGCCGGGGGGAGGTGCCGTCCGTCCCGCTCGCCCCGCGGGGGATCCCGGCAGAGCGCTCCGGCGGGTCGCAGGCGCGCGGCGTAGCTGGAGACGTGGGCGATCGTCGGGCAGCCTCGGCGTGGGCACGGGTGTCCACTCCGTATTGTCTGCAGATTGTCACTGGCACTGGGACCCATGATCAAGGCACCGTGGACGTGAGCGTGGATGTGGGCAGTGGGCTTGTGCAAGAGGCCTCTGGGTCCTTTGACCGAGGTGAAACAGTGCTCTCAAAGTGTTTTTCCAGCGCGATCCTGGCGCTACAGATGCACAATCCAACATCAAATGGCTGGGCAGGCAGCATGCTGTATTCCACAGATGGTGGCAACACCTACGTATCTGTTGCATGCGCAGATTGTGTGGGGACTACAGATTCAAGATCCATGGTTTTCGATGGAAACGCCGACGGAGACAATATGGCTTCGACTCAGTGCCTCAATGGCAATGTGTGCAGCTTCATTATGCTGACTCTGACTCTGGCTCCAACACCGTGGTCCTGCACCTCGATGTCTGCAAGCCATTTCTCTTATCAGTATCAGTCCTATCAAATCAGCGACGACATTGTCGGATTGACATCAAATGCACAGAGCGCTTATGGACGGGTTGCGGTTTCGTTCGCGGTGTCGGAGGGATTCACCATTCAGTTCGACATGTTCCAGGGTGGTGGATCGGGTGCCGACGGGTGCTGTATGAAGTACGGTGGTTCTCAGGAGCGAAAGAAGGACGTACATGTACATGAATCCACGCTGGTTTCGAGAGCACGCATTTCACAAATGTTCGTATAACGCGGCCAGTCTCGCGGATCGAGGGGCCGTGTTCATGTACATAGCTGGGCGCGTACGTCCTTTGTGGGCTCCCTAGGTTATGACGACAATACCTGGGAGGATGTCTCTGCGGTGGGCCTGTCCGTCTGTTTTGACTCCCACGGGTCGGATCGCGGCGTGAGGATTGGGTGGAACGGAGATATCCTGTTTTCAGATGGACAGGCCCCCAGCTTCGAAGATTCCGACTGGCACAGCGTCATTGTAGAGGTCGGAGGGCACCAGCTATACACCAACACCGATCCTGGCCCAGGATCACCCTGGGCCCAGGATCGGTGCATGTGCCTTCTTGCGCAAGGCAGGAGGGCGTATACACCGATCCTGGGCCCAGGGTTATCCTGGCCAGGATCGGTGTTGGTGTATAGTTGGTGCCTTCCTGAGAGGTCACGCCGATCGGCAGTGGTGCGAGTGTCGCATTGAATTTTGACAGCAACTCCTATTACAAAACAGCTTGGATCAGTAGCTACTCGCCTCCCATTGGTAGTGGCCAGCTGACCTTCACCGCAAGAAACGGTTTGATGACGAATTTCCACGAGATCAAGGATGTCCAAGCGTGCAATCAGGGTACTACGGGCACTACGTTTTGGACGTTATTGGCTCGGCAAACGTATCCGACTTTGTTCACAGAGGGCGAGTGGTCGAAAAACGCGGGATATCCTGAAAATGACAATTATGCAATTTTGGATCAAATTGAAAATTATCGCAGCGGCGACGGAGTGTTCACGTTCAAATTGAGTTGGCCAGGTTCGGAATTGCAGGACCAAATATGGAATCAATCGCTCAACCCATATACTTCACCAGGGCAGCAATTAACCAGACCAGTTGCGGGCTATGAGGATGTGGCTGTCCACTACACTGACGCGTATTGGGGGGGCCTGGAAAGCGTTTCTACATACGCGCTCTTGGACGGGAGCGTGGCCGACTGGTCTTGGTGGTACGCAGTTGGCTCTTTCCAAGAACATGATGGTGGCATGCCCGGCCCCAACGGAATCGTCGTGAATAAAGTCGAGCTCTACGTGGCAACGACCGCGTATTCTTTGCTTATTCCTCAACGCGGATGTGCCGATGGTAGTGGCACCAGGCAGAGTGGATGGCTTACCGTCGGCAAACCCTACACTCCTGCAGCGTGCGCGATTGAGTGCGCGACGTATAATTTCTTCACCATTGCAGGGGATGACGCCGATTGCAAGTGCTCGGACGCCTGTGTAGACGAAAACGGTGGACACACATCATATGTTTTTGTTCAGGAATCGAGTACCACCCTGTCGGCCCTCACGACGTCGAGCTCCAGCACATCGAGTACGACCGTGACGTCGACCACCATGACGGCGTCCAGCACCACCGGGACATCGGCCACCGTGACGTCGAGTTCCAGCAGTACGACCGTGACGTCGACCACCATGACGTCGTCCAGCACCACCGGGACATCGGCCACCGTGACGTCGAGTTCCAGCAGTACGACTGTGACGTCGGCCACCATGACCATGACGTCGTCCAGCACCACCAGGACATCGGTCACCGTGACGTCGAGTTCCAGCAGTACGACTGTGACGTCGGCCACCATGACGTCGTCCAGTACCGTGACGACTGTTTTGTATGATGTATTGACGCACGGCCAATGTGACAGGTGGATAATGTACATCGATGGTTGCACGTTGGCCGCATACGAGCTTAACCTCAGCACCGTTCCCGCAATCGATGATGAACAGAGTGGAGGGTGGAGTGATCCGCCCTTCTGTTATTTGGAGAACTCAAAACTCAAGTTCAACTCCGATGGAAGCAACAAGGGTTCGTGCAGCCAGGGTGACCAGTGTATTTGCGCCTCGGTGTCTCCGACCTACACTGCGACTTCGGAGACGACCACTACGCGCACGGGCTATTGGCCTCCCACGCTATCGCCGACATTCGCCCCGACGCCAGCTCCCACAGAGCAGTGCTTCGATCTCAATGTGACCGAGAACGTTACAGAGTGGCCAGGGTGGCATGAGTGGTACGATACCGGAGGGCCCACGTACAACTGTGACTGGTATGGGACGATGAATTGTCCGAGTGACTCGCCAGCGTTCAGAAACTTCGGGCATATCGCGCAGGAAGCATGCTGCGCATGCGGCGGTGGTCAAGACGAACTCAGCCAGAAGGTGTCTGTGGGCATCACCGTGCAGGGGGTGGACTTCGTGCTCTTATCGCAGAACGAAGAAGTCCAAGAGGCCTTCAAGGGTACTATTCAGATTACACTAGCCAGCGCTGCGGGCGTGAATCCTGACAATGTTGACGTGGAGCTTTACGCAGGCTCAGTTTTCGTTGTTGCAACTATCCGGCTGCCGACCTTCATCAGGCCCCAGACCTTGTCGCAGCAGTTGGGGGATAATTCTCGGACCATGGCCGACAATGTTGCCGACGAGGTGCAGTCTATCCCGAACATGGACAGCGTCATCAATGGAGAAATTTCCGCCGTGGTCGACCAAGTCGTGGTGCTAACGAACTACAACTTCATCGTGGTCACCGATGGATCCTGCCAAGAGCCCATAACGAACGACACCCTCTGCGAGGCTGCCGCGGTGCAGCTGGGGTTGCAGCTGCCCGACACGACGCCGCTGGACGACGGTCAGAGCGGCTCTCGGACCGACCCCCCGGGCTGCTACTTGGAGGACGGGACCCTGAAGATCAATTCGGGTGGGGGCAACACCGGCAGCTGCGACGCGACCGACCAGTGCCTTTGCTTCCTGACGCCCACGCCCGCGCCGACGTCAAGCTCCTGCCCGAGCTCGTGCTTCGGCCTGAGCTGCGACGAGATCACCACGTCGATGGGCGACTCAGCCCTCTGGGGGTGCCTGGCGCTGGAGAGCACTTACTTCTGCGACTGCGCCGGCTGCAGCTGCGAGGAGTACTGCTCCGCCCACTCCTCATGCTCCGACGGCTCATTTTGCAAAAGTGATGGAACGTGTGCCGCCTGCAGTCAGTGTGAGCACTGCTACAACGGCATCGACAGCACCTGTGGCCTGTGCGGCAACACCACGAGGAACGAGAGCTGCCAGGCGGACTGCCAGGATACGGCGGGGCGTGCTACGTTCAACGCAGGCGAAGGCATCGGCGAGGCAGGATGTGGCATCTACAGCGACCTTCCAGAGTACTGCCTGCTGTCCGCGGCCGCGTACGACGACGAGGATTTCACAGCCAGTCTGCAGTGCTGCTCCTGCGGCGGGGGCAGCAACCCGCGGGCGGACGCTGTCTGGCATGCCTTGGGCCCAGGCACCTGCCGGAACTCGGGAGGGGAAAAAACACAGACACTATTAATCTAGGATTCCCCAGAAGATATGGGCAAATATGGGAAGTGGGGGGGGAAGACAAAGACCCAGAACACATGAAAAAAGATGGGGAATCTTTTTATTTGTGTGTATTTATTTGTGTGTCCCAGTTCCCCTTCAGGAACCACGATGCCGACTGGCAGCAGTCGGACGAGCTCGGCCCCGGCTGGGGCCTGCAGCGAGGCTTCGGCTGGCGCATGTGCGACGGTCGGACCGACGAGGCGTGCCAGCAGGTTTGCGCGCAGACCCCCGGTTGCAGCATGATCTCAAACGGCTTCTGTTGCTTCCTCTTCAAAGGCTCTACGTGTGACCTTGATGCCAGCCAGAGCGGCCAGTCTTTCTCGACGGGTGCAGCTGGCAGCGAGCTGTGCGTGGATGGCTGCAATGGTAAGACGACCTGCAGGTGCGGCGCTTCCATGGAGTTGTGCACCATGCATGGGCTCATGTGGTGCAGCGACGGCTCCGACGCCGTTGATTGCGGGCTCCCGGTGACCGGCACCTGCAGCGCATGCGAGGGGGGGTGCTCGGTCGGCGGCAGCTGCAACTGCTCGATGGGCCCCGCTGCCTGCGAGGCTGCTGGCGGCGTCATGTGCGATGGCCCTGTCGACTGCAGCGTGTGTCCACGCCAGGGCATCGACCCCGCCGCCGTCGCGCGCGAGGCCGGTGCGGCGGCGGCCGCGCTCACGTGCGGGGGCCTCCGGCAGGCTGCGGGCGAATTCGCGCTGCCGCTGGCCTGCGCCCAGGTCCGCACGCTCTACGCGGGCGCGTGCTGCACGCCACACACCATGGCGCTGAGCATCCGGGTGGACAGCGGGGGCCTCACGGCCATGGTCTCCAACGGCAGCGCCAAGTCGACGTTCGAGGACCAGGTCGAGGCCACCCTCCTCTCAGGCCGCGAGGGCCTGCGGGCTGCCGCTGGCAGCGGCGTGTGGGTGGACAGCTACGCCTACTGCAGGGAGCTTGGGCTCGTCACGGTCCTGCTTGCGGCCACAGAGGTGGACGACCTCCAGGGGGAGGAGGCACGCCTGCAGGGCTCCCTGGATACTGTCACCAACGCCATTGCCACGGAGGCCAGTGCCATCCTGGAGTCCGGCAAAGTTCGTGGGGTGACGCTCGCACAGACCGACGCCCACTTCGACATGGAGGTCCAGTGCGCACGCTTCACGAGCATCCTCTCGAGCTGTAACGCCATTCAGGCATCGGTTATAGTCGCGCTGTGCCACAGAGAGAAGGTTTCCTTGAAAACCTGAGCATTGATTTTTAATAGGCTCAAAATAGGATTTTGAATAATGAGTAAAATAGGTTTAAAATACAGTTCAAATAGGGCAAGCGTTTTGTTTCAAAGGAAGTGTCTTAGTTCATCAGCCCCCCTTGTCGCTTTGATTGAAGCCATCACTCTCTGGCACACTACATGTAATAGTTGTGATGGCATCTTGAGGGTTTCTCCGGGGTCCTCGTGGAGGCCGCCTGGTGGCACATGGGGGGTCTTTGTGGCCATCGTAGCGCAGCCGTCAGCGGCCTTCTTGGGGCCGTGTTGGGCCGTATTGAAGGCCATCTTGGTTGTGTCCGAAGCTATGCTCCCGCTCCGCGACACTCCCTGGGGACCCTTGGGAAACGGGAAATGCTGTCACCGACGCAGCGCGTCTTCAGAACAGCATAGTGCTTAAATTACGTAGGGCACGTACTCACCATTCAAGGGGCCCAAGGACACACAAATAAATACACACAAATGAACATCTTCCCCATATTTCCCCATATTTTCTGGGTTTCTGTCTTCCCCCCCACTTCCCATATTTTCCCATATTTTCTGGGGATTCGAGGATTAACTGTGTCTGTGTGTTTCTTTCCCTCCTGAACCATGCCACGATCCCGCGCGGATGACCCTGGATCCGCACCCCCCTCGCCACGACCCCATTGCAAATGGCACAGGATGCGCACTTCCGAGCGCACGCCCCTGCGCATATCGGAACGAATCCTTGGTATCGGCAGCAGCACCAACGGTCCTCAGGCACCCTGCCGAGACACGTCTGGAAACAACGAGACCCCAAGGAACACTGTTTTTTTTTTGGTCGGCGGGGCGAGAGCGAACCTCTTCCGCTAAAAGCTAGGCGGGCTACGCACAGCTCTAATTAGGGAGACAGGGCACAGGCGGGCGGGGCCTCAGGCGGCCGGAGAGGGCGGGGCCCGCAAAAAAACCCAAGGAACATTGCTCTGATGCGCTACAGCATTTCTCCCTTGTCCTCCTCCTCCTCCTCCGCCTAATCGTCGTCGTCCTCCTCCTCTTTTTCATCGTATTTCATCGTACCCTTTTTCCCCTCGTCTTCCAACTCCCCCTCGTTCTCCTCGTCCTCCTCCTTCTGCTCCTCGTTCTCCTCCTCGTCCTCCTCGCCCTCCTTCTCGCCCTCCCCCTCGGGCGGGGGCGCCTTCGGCGACGCCGCCGTCGACGACGGGGCCGTCGGGCGCAGCGTCACGGGAGGGGATGGTGAGGGCAGGGGAAGGGGATAGGGGGGAGCAGAGGAGGGAGCTGACGGGAGGGGAGGGGGAAAGGGAGCATGATGAAGGGAGGGGAGGGGGAGCAAGGGGGAAGGAGGGAGGGAGGACCGAGAGGACAGCTCCGGAAGAAGGGACAGGAGGGACGGCCATGATAACGGTGATGGCGGTGATGATGATGGATGATTGCGTCTTAGATGTTAGGCTGTTGGTTTGTGTAATGCCGGCTTGTTGTGTTATGTTTGTTTGTTATGTGTCTGATGTTTGTGTGGTTGTTTATGTTGCGTGATCAGCCTCTGTTCCAAGGACGAGCGGTACGACCGAGCTACATTGTTCAAGCCATCTTATGTGAACGAGCAAGCACTTCACGTGCAACTTCGTATCCTATCATGCTGTCTCGCACATGTACATCATATCTCAGATAATACTCTGCATACCGATGCCCTTCTTCAGGGCGAGCTGCACTGACTCGAACAGTGTTTCCACTCCCCAGCTGTCTTTGTCTAATTTTACTTTCAAATATTTCTTCAACACGACTGCATTGCCTTTGATTTTTCTTCACTCCGTAGACAACGGCAGATTCGAGCACCGTCGTTGCAGCTCGCTGCAGGTTTGCCAGGGCCTCCGTCAGGGCAGGACTGCTTTGCACTGTGATGTTGAACTTTGAGGTGAGGGTCTCGAGATCATTTTTTAGTTGCATGCTCGAGTCGACTTCAGCCTTGAGGAGGTCGTGGGGCAGGTTTTTCAGGAAGTCGTGCGCACACTCAAGCAAGCCATCGAATGCAATCGATGGGCTGATCCCGTCGCGCCAATCTCTGTCCAAGAGGCCGCCCTTGAGCTTGCCCAGCGGCACGCTCTCGTTCTCAGTCAGAAGCTTCACCTTCAGCGCAGCCCGTTTCGCACCGAAAAGTTTCTGCTTGAGGGCCTCCGTCTCTGGCGTCAGCTGCTTCATGAACGTATCTTTCACTGTATCCGCCTCGTTCTGGGGGTCACCCTCCTGCACGGCCTCGTACTGCGTCAGCAGGCTCAGGGAAGCATCCACTGAGTGATCGGGGGCAGCGGCGGCATCTTCGTCAGAGAAGCCGATGTTTGGGTCTGTCGGCACGATGGTCGCCATTGCCCTCAACACGGCTTTGGCCAACTTCGCTCTTTCAATCAACTGCTCGAAGGACTTGAAACCCGACCCCGCTGGAGAGACACATGACCACTGCAACCAAGCGCTTGCTTTAGACATCCACCTGAGCGAAGCATCGAAAAACGGATCACAATAGACATCGAGGGTGGTGCTGCGCGTCTTTGTGACCAATTCCACTGCCGGTTTCGTGAAAGAGATGAACTTCCGCATGGACGGTACTGGCGCTAGGTCTTTCAGGCCATCGATCTTGTCGAACTGAGCCACTGCAAAGACGAGCATGTCTAAGTTGAAAACTTCGAGCTTGGTGCAGAAATGCTCGACGAGGTTCTTCCCATTATTCTGAGACCTGAGAGAGCTGATCGAAGCCACTGCGTCATTCCGGACCGGGATAACACCGAAGATGGCATACGCCTTTTGCGAGAGAGCCCCCACATTATCGCTGAACTCATCGGTTGCCTCATGTGGACTGTTCTTCACATGAGCAGCGAGATGCTCGAAGAAGCGGCCCAGGGCACCGCGCGGCATCTGGAAGAAGGAGCCGTACTCCACCTCTGGGAGCGCAGCTTTGATGACGGGCAGGTCCTTCGTGGTACTGCCATGGGACTGCAGGGCTGCCGGCTGCCGTGCCATTGTCGGGCGCCACCTCTTCACCTCGGGAGAGTGCTTCAAGGAAGGATTTTTTGCAATCCTTCGTTCAGGAGAGGGTTTTTTTGCAATCCTTCGTTCAAGGTTTTTTTTGCAATCCTTCGGGTTTTTTTGCAATCCTTCGGGTTTTTTTGCAGCCCTTCCGCTTCACCTCCCAGTAGGACTCACCTGGCACGACGGCGTAGACGGCGCCCTCGATTGTGGTGGCCTTAGCTTTGCCCAGCTGCTCCACTGCCGCCGGGTGCAGCGTATCTTCGGCCTGCCCCCGGAGCGTATTCATCAGCTGCAACATCGCCACGACCTCCGCAGCGGCGTTGTCGACTTCGAGCTCGCAGGTCACAGGCATCGCCCTGATTTCGCCCATCTCGGCGGCAGCGAGCTCAATGGTCTTCTGGTGCCCGCCCTTCCCGAGGTTCAAGAAGCGCGGCAGGATGATCTTGCACAGGTAGTCTTTGAATATCGATGCCTTCTCCGCAACAGGCAGCCTCATCAAAGCAAGAGTCGGGGACTTGCACTCGAACTTCACAACATTACCAACGTTTCCGACCTCGCGAGCCCACGGCAAACACATAGAGATCGCAACTCCTGGTTTGGACGCCCAATCCTGGTCGGCCTTCCAGTCCTCGAGCGCCCTTTCCCACAACGCGCGCTGGAACACCGCGGGCACTTTGGGGACGTCCCTGTCTGTGCGCTGCGCCAACTCTGAGCCGCTCATCGTCTTGATGGTCTTCGCCTTCTGGTCGCCAGCAACCCTGCACCTCTCTGCTAGGTCCAAGCACGCCGAAGCCACATCACAGTCGGGGCGCTGAAGAAGGAACCCTTTTCGTCGGGGAGGGGCTCGGTGTTCCTTGATTGTTTCAAAGTTTGCCTTGGGTTTTCCTGAGGTTTTCCATGGGAAATCGAAGTTGAACTTATGGGAAAAAGGGGCCTCGTTCCTTACTTAGGGTTCCTTGGGTCAACGCCTCGACTGTGTGATCTGGATCACCCGTAAACTTGGTAACGTTGTCCCTGAGCTGGCGCGCCGTGTGCCCCAGCTTCTTCCCCCCCAGGAGGAGGAGGAGGAGGAGGAGGAGGAGGAAGAGGAGGAGGAGGAGGAGGAGCAGTCGGTGGATCTTGCAAGTGTGCATAGACTGCCTGCGGTCCAGCTCTATTGCGAGGGCTGCTGGGTTCCCTAATTTATGATCCCCCCACGGTTGAAGCTTGGGCTGGGGTCGGGGCCGTAACCCCGCTGATGTTGTACACGGGTGGCTTAAAGTTGGACAGGGGCCGTCTGTATTGTCTTGCACACGTACGTTTACATGCACGCGCGTAGCCAGTTAGTAGTTCATGTGTGTGTGTGTTGTGCGGATGTGATCTTCTCTTACATGCTCGTTTCAAGGTACCCTTGCATCCCACACAACCTGAGCTTGGACCAACCCGCCCTCGTGGCCCTCGTCTCCTCGGCCGCTTCCTCCGACTCCTCCGTGCCCTCGCCAGAGTCCCAGTTGCTGCCCTCCTCGCCGGAGGTCACCTTGGAGCCACCGCCCGCGGCCGACGCCGCCGACTGCAGCAGCGAAGAAGCACCGCCAGGCGAGGCGCCCTCGAGCTGCGACAGGGAGGACGCGTTCGTCTCCACAGGCTTGGAGGCTGGCGGGCCCGTGGCGATCTCGTGGCTCTCCTTGGGCTCGCTCGCCGCCTCCGTCGGCTCCGTCGGCACTGTTGGCCGGCACTGGCTCCGAGAGTGGCCCCGGCGGCGCCAAAGCCGACGGCGCCGAACCCGAAGCCCTGGACTTGAGGGCCTCGTTTCTCGCCTCGATGAGCTCCACCGTCGCCTTGTCCTGGACCTTACCCAGCATGTCATTGTGAGAAGGCGCGTGGAAGAGAGCCTCGAGGTCCGTGCCACGGTTCTCAACCACGGCCTGCATCTGGACAGCGCCGTGCCGGGGGAGCATACTTCAGCTTGCAGGCATCGCCAGCATGGAATGGTTGAGCTCCCTGCGGCGGTAGATATTGACGATGGTGTGCGGCTGGTCAGGGTTCACTTGCACACAGAAGTTCCTGAGGGCGCCGCTCTGGTCCACCACGTTCGTCGGCTTCATGTCGATCTCGTGCGGCTGCTTCTTGTAGAGGTCGACCACGTCGCTCTCCTTCAGGCAACGGAACGACCAGACCGTGTCCTCGAAAAGGCCAGACTTCTCCCCCACGGTTTCCTGGGGCTCCGTATCTGATTTCACGCCGCCTTGCTTATGAATAATCTGAGGCGCGTTGTCAAAGCCAACATTGACTTTCTCGTTGCTGTGGTACTGGTCAGTCAGCACGTCCCAGGTTCAGAAGGGGAACGCGAACTTGTGCGTCCCAGAGCACTTCTCGCACTTACACGTCGTCTCCATGCTCTCATTCTTCTCGCCGCAGATGCCGCAGCCGATCGTGGGCTTCTTCTTGGCAGGTTTTCCCTCGGCGGACGCGGACGAGCTCACTCCGAACTCCTGCTTCGGGCCGACCTGGTACGAGCCCTCCCAGCGCCCTTCGGAATGGCGATGGGGCCTGAGGTGGCGGCGGGGCCTCAAATCGGCGGCGGCTGGTCGACATCATCGCCCGACTCCTTACTCTCCCTCCTGGGAGCCATAGAGAAGATCAGATAACCACAACTGTTCCTCAACAGAACTCGATCACAAACAAATGGCTGTGGAGAACAACGGGTCCGGAAACATTGGTGCTTGCCCGTTCGCCCTTCGCTGGGGCAATGGGACCATCTGTCGATACTAAGGGCAAGAATATTCAACCGAGACGCCCACGTGCACGGCCCAAGTCTGGGTCTCGTCCGGCACACAGGACGCGACAGGGAAACATAAAGTTGCAGTGCAATGCACGTGCAAGCCATGCAGAAAGCAACGCGAGCTGTGGAACTCAATGTTGGCATTACCTCTAGTCGTTATCTCCCAAGATGGCTCCCCCAAGATGGCCCCTCCAAGATGCCCCCCCAGACTGCCCACCAAGAGGCCTCCACCAAGAGGGCTCCACCAAGAGGACTCCACCAAGAGGGCTCCACCAAGACGGCTCCACCTAGATTACGCCACACATATTCTCCTTTCTAAAAAGAGAATAGACTCTGACCCCCCCCCGGCGTTATTCACCCCCCTTTCGGGAATGTAAATCATATATGATTATGACCACATGTCCATCCTAAATATGAATTGTCACTACCCCAGGGGGGCCGGTATCGCCACCCCTGAGGTTCCCCTGTAAAAAAACAATACGCGGGGACATTTTCCCCAACCCTCCTTGGTTGGGTATTCGTTTTGAATAGAGGGGTGTGGTCGCGTCCTCCTCCTCCCGCCTCCCGCCTCCTCCTGCGCTCTCTTCGCCGACGATGGGGGCTGCGATCTGCGAAACTGTCGCCACTTTCGAGGGCTGCACCGCGCAGATCTGAGCGAGACCTCGCCGTCCCTGGGGGCTGCGATCTGCGAAACTGTCGCCACTTTCGAGGGCTGCTGGTGGGTCCTGCGGAGTGAGGCACCGCGCAGATCTGAGCGAGACCTCGCCGTCCCTGGGGGGCTGCGATCTGCGAAGCTGTCGCCACTTTCGAGGGCTGCCGGTGGGTCCTGCAGGAGTGAGGCACCGCGCAGATCTGAGCGAGACCTCGCCGTCCCTGGGGGGCTGCGATCTGCGAAGCTGTCGCCACTTTCGAGGGCTGCTGGTGGGTCCTGCGGAGTGAGGCACCGTGCAGATCTGAGCGAGACTTCGCCGTCCCTGGGGGGCTGCGATCTGCGAAGCTGTCGCCACTTTCGAGGGCTGCTGGTGGGTCCTGCGGAGTGAGGCACCGCGCAGATCTGAGCGAGACCTCGCCGTCCCTGGGGGGCTGCGATCTGCGAAGCTGTCGCCACTTTTGAGGGCTGCTGGTGGGTCCTGCGGAGTGAGGCACCGTGCAGATCTGAGCGAGACTTCGCCGTCCCTGGGGGGCTGCGATCTGCGAAACTGTCGCCACTTTCGAGGGCTGCTGGTGGGTCCTGCGGAGTGGGGCACCGCGCAGATCTGAGCGAGACCTCGCTGTCCCTGGGGGCTGCGATCTGCGAAGCTGTCGCCACTTTCGAGGGCTGCTGGTGGGACCTGCGGAGTGAGGAGCGACCTCGCCGTCCCTGGGGGGCTGCGATCTGCGACACTGTCGCCACTTTCAAGGGCTGCTGGTGGGTCCTGCGGAGGGGCACCGCGCAGCTCGCTGTCCCTGGGGGGCTGGTCTGCGAAACTGTCGTCACTTTCGAGGGCTGCTGGTGAGTCCTGCGGAGTGAGGCACCGCGCAGATCTGAGCGAGACCTCGCCGTCCCTGGGGGGCTGCGATCTGCGAAACCGTCGCCACTTTCGAGGGCTGCTGGTGGGTCCTGCGGAGTGAGGCACCGCGCAGATCTGAGCGAGACCTCGCCGTCCCTGGGGGCTGCGATCTGCGAAGCTGTCGCCACTTTCGAGGGCTGCTGGTGGGTCCTGCGGAGTGAGGCACCGCGCAGTTCTGAGCGAGACCTGCCGTCCCTGGGGGGCTGCGATCTGCGAAACTGTCGCCACGTTCGAGGGCTGCTGGTGGGTCTTGCGGAGTGAGGCACCGCGCAGATCTGAGCGAGACCTCGCCGTCCCTGGGGGGTTGCGATCTGCGAAACTGTCGTCACTTTCGAGGGCTGCTGGTGGGTCCTGCGGAGTGGGGCACCGCGCAAATCTGAGCGAGACCTCGCCGTCCCTGGGGGGCTGCGATCTTCGACACTGTCGCCACTTTCGAGGGCTGCTGGTGGGTCCTGCGGAGTGAGGCACCGCGCAGATCTGAGCGAGACCTTGCCGTCCCTGGGGGGCTGCGATCTGCGAAACCGTCGCCACGTTCGAGGGCTGCTGGTGAGTCTTGCGGAGTGAGGCACCGCGCAGATCTGAGCGAGACCTCGCCGTCCCTGGGGGGTGCGATCTGCGAAACTGTCGCCACTTTCGAGGGCTGCTGGTGGGTCCAACGGAGTGAGGCACCGCGCAGATCTGAGCGAGACCTCGCCGTCCCTGGGGGGCTGTGATCTGCGAAACCGTCGCAACTTTCGAGGGCTGCTTGGGGGGCCAGCATAGCGATCTGCGGAATTGTCGCCACTTTCGAGGGCGGCTGGCGGGTCCAGCGAGGTGAGGCACTGCGCAGATCTGAGCGGGGCCTTGCCGTCCCTGGGGGCTGCGATCTGCGAAACCGTCGCCACTTTCGATGGCTGCTGACGGGTCCAGTGGAGTGAGACACCGCGCAGATCTGAGCGAGACCTCGCCGTCCCTGGGGGGCTGCGATCTGCGAAGCTGTCGCCACTTTCGAGGGCTGCTGGTGGGTCCAGCGGAGTGAGGCACCGCGCAGATCTGAGCGAGACCTCGCCGTCCTTGGGGGGCTGCGATCTGCGAAACCGTCGCCACTTTCGAGGGCTGCTGGTGGGTCCAGCGGAGTGAGGCGCAGGGGTTGGGTACGTCGCCAGGGTAATTGCTCTAACATGAGACTTTTGTCACGAATCCCTTGCAACAAATGGGACGAAGTGCGCACGCGCGCGTCGTCGCGCGCGCATGCCGAAATCCTTCAAAAACCTTCGGTGTCGGAGGGGTTTCGCAATCGAGTTTCCAAAACACATACAAACGCACAGGGTTTGGCAACACTGATATTCTAAAAAAGCTTCCGCGCGAGCTCTTGCGAAATCTTAAGAATACCATGGGTTGTTCAAGATTTTCACACAATGTTACCAAACGGGCTTCGCGCGCGCGCATGCCGAAATCTGTCGAACGCCCTTGCGCGTGTGCCGTCGCGAGAATCCTCTGCAAAAAACTTGACGAAATGCAAACGCGCGCGTCGTCGCGCGCGTATGCCGAAATCCTTCAAAACCCATCGGCTTCGGAAGGATTTCAACACCGTGTGCCCAACAAACCTACATAAACACAAGGTTTCGCAACACGGATGTGCAACAAAAGCGTGCGCGCGCGCTCTTGCGTCGTCGTCGTCGTCGTCGTCGCCGTCCTCCCTCCTCCCGCGTCGTCGTCGTCGTCGTCGCCTACGTCGTCCTCTGTCTTTCTCGTGCGTCGTGGTCGTTTCCGTCGTCGTTGTCGCCGTGGTCGTCCTTCCTCCTCCTCCCTCGTCGTCGTCGTCGTCCGTCGTCGGCGTCTCGTCGTCGTCCCTCCTATTTCGTCGCCGTCGTCGTCGTCGTCGTCGTCGTCGTCGTCGTCGTCGTTGTCGTCGTCGCCGTCTTCCCTCCTCCCTCGTCGTTGTCGTCGTCGGCGTCGCCGTCCTTCCTCCTTCTTCGTCGTTCGCGTCGTCGCCGTCCTCCCTCCTCCCTCGTCGTTGTCGTCGTTGTCGCCGTCGTCGTCCTCCCTCCTCCCTTTTCTATGTCTTCGTTGGCGACGTCGTCGTCGTCTTCGTCGTCGTCGTCGGCATCGGCGTCGTCGTCGTCTTCGTCGTCATCGTCGGCATCGGCGTCGTCGTCGCCGCCGTCGTCGTCGTCGTCGTCGTCGTCGGCGTCGTTCACGTCGTCGTCGTCGTCGGTGTCGTCGTTGTCGTCGTCGTCGGCGTCGTCATCGTCGTCGTCGTCGGCGTCGGCGTCGTCGTCGTCGTCGTCGGTGTCGTCGTCGTTGTCGTCGTCGTCATTGTCGTCATCGTCGAAGTCGTCGGAGACGTCGTCGTTGTCGGCGTAGTCGTTGTCGTCGGTGCCGTCGTAGTCGGTCTTAAGGGGTTTTGCAAACCACGTTGCTGTTGGGTGGGTGGGATGGTTGCAAGAGCATGGGATGTGTCAAATCATGGGTAAAAATCAGTTGCACCACATATATTCTCCTTTATAAAAACAGAATAGCATCGACCCCCCCCGGCGTTATCGACACCCCTTTCGGAAATGTAAATCATATATGATTATGACCACATGTCCATCCTTAATATGAAATCACAATGTCAAATGCCAACCGGTATCCCCCCCCGGAGGGTCCCTTGTAAAAAAACACTATGCGGTGACATTTTTTGTTCGAACATAACACTTTTCCACGAATCCCTTGCAAAGAATAGGACGAAGTGCACACGCGCGCGTCGTCGCGCGCGCATGCCGAAATCCTTCAAAAACCCTCGGTGCCGGAAGGATGTCGCAATCGAGTTCCCCAAAAACATACAAAAACACAGGGTTTCGCAACACTGATTTGCTAAAAAAGCTTCCCCGCGAGCTCTTGCGAAATCTAAAAAAAAAAC